CCAAGTAGCTGGGACCACAGGCACCTGCCACAATGCCTGGCTATTTTTTGGTTGCAGCTGTCATTGTTTGGCGGGCTGGGCTGGATTCGAACCCGCCAGCTCAGGTGTATGTGGCTGGCGCTTTAGCAGCTTGAGCCACAGTCGCTGATCCTCTAAATTTCTCCTGTTCTCTGACACTTGAAAGTGGTTAGTATTGCTCTGGCCTAAGTGCTGGTAGCTGGTAGCAGATACAGTAGGTGATTAGGTTGGAAAGGTAACAGGGCTCATGTGCTCCTTAAACATGTAGCATCTGCCATGATCTGTTTCTTAGAATGGGAGATGCTTCAGCTGTAAAAAGGCTTTCAGGAACCTCCCAGCTTACAAGGGATGGCAGAAGTGTAAGTGATAGTTAATAGCAAAGTGTGATGGAGTCTTGTGATGGAGAGTTAGAAGACATAGAAGACAGCTGTTTTTTTTTTTTTTTTTGAAGAGACAGAGTCTCACTTTATTGCCCTTGGTAGAGTGCCATGGCATCACAGCTCACAGCAACCTCCAACTCCTGGGCTTGGGCGATTCTTTTGCCTCAGCCTCCCGAGTAGCTGGGAGTACAGGCGCACGCCACAACTGCCTGGCTATTTTTTTGTTGCAGTTTGGTTGGGGCCAGGTTTGAACCCGCCACCCTCGGTATATGGGGCTGCTGCCCTACTCACTGAGCCACAGATGCTGCCCTTTTTTTTTTTTTGAGACAGAGTCTTAATATTCCGCAGTTGGCGTCACAGCTCACAGCAATCTCAAACTCTTGGGCTTAAGCGATTCTCTTGCCTCAGCCTCTCAAGTAGCTGGAGCTACAGGTGCTTAAAACCCTAAAAGATAGTGAAGATTGACCACAACACACAGCTCAGCTATTTTTTTGGTTGTAGTTGTCATTGTTGTTTAGTTGGCCCCGGCCAGGTTCAAACCCTCCACCCTTGGTGTATGTGGCTGATGCCGTAACCACTGTGCTTTGGGCACTGAGCCTAGAAGAGAGCTTTGAGAGCCAGAGGAGGACTCCAGTCTAGACTTTGGATGTGGTGGTCAGGGCAGGCTTCCTGGAGGAAGCAGAAAACTGAAAATAGTATAGAAATTGTACACACTACTAGAGGGACATTACACCAGCCAGAGAGAACAGCATGTATAAAAGCCTAAAAGATAGTGAAGATTGACACAAACCTGTCTGGCATGGATGGAGGTAGTCAGGCCATACACATGGGGTCCATTAAAAATACGTGATAAAAAGTGTGGCTTCATCATACACCAAGGCTGGTCAGTTCGAATTCTACCAGGACCTGCTAAACAACAATGACAACTGCAACCAAAAAATAGCCAGGTGTTGTGGTGGGCACCTGTTGTCCCAGCTACTTGGGAGGCTAAGGCAAGAGGATTACTTAAGCCCAGGAGTTTGAGGTTGCTGTGAGCTCTGATGCCATGGCACTCTACCAAGGGTGACATAGTAAGACTCTGTCTCAAAAAAAAAAAAAAAAAGGGTGGCTTTAATAAAAAAAGATGGTGACTAGCTTGGTGCCCATAGCATAGTGGTTACAGTGGCAGCCATATACACCAAAGTTGGCAGGTTAGAACCCAGCCTGGACCAACTAAAACAACAATGACAGGTGCAACAAAAAGTAGCCGGGCGTTGTGGCGGGTGCCTGTAGTCCCAGCTGAGGCCAAGAGAAACCCTTAAGCCCAAGAGGTTTTTTTTTTTGAGACAGAGCCTCAAGCTGTCCCCTGGGTAAAGTGCTGTGGCATCACACCTCACAGCAACCTCCAACTCCTGGGCTCAAG